TTTATTTTCAAACATGGGTGCAGACGCCAGATTAAATTCAAACTTCCAAGATACTCCTTTAATGATTTTTTTCTATAAATATCCCACACACGAGAAGCAACAAAGTCAATTTACAAACGATTTAAAAAGATCTCTTAAACTAAGAAAATACATAGCAATTTGCACCATATGCAACCCCTTACTGAAGTAGCAAGACTAATTATTAGTCTGAAGCGAATAAAAGTTACACTTGCCTTGAAACTCGAGTCTTGAACAGTACACACTGTTCAAATGTTTTTTCAGTAAATATTTGTCAGTTTTATGACCACACAGTGAACAGTGCCTTTTTTTTACATGAGCAATGTTCATCATCATTGCATCGATGTGATTTTGTAAGTAGATCATCCAGGCTTGTGACAACACTGGCATCTACATTTATGGAAAGAATTTATTAAATTAATTTAACTTGTTAAAAGTACAGTCTATTCATTGGTGCTAACTCAGACTACGTGCAATGTCGGTCACGGTAAATGCCAGAAGCGAGAGCTACGTTTTACAAGTTTCTCGTCCCTGTGAATATTATAAAAATGTTGGGTAATAGGTAATAAACGAATTGAAATAGTTTCAGTTTTTATATACTCACCGCGCACATTTCCAGCGAGATTCACTTCCTTTGGTAACGCCATGTCAGAACAGCTGCATTACGACGCCATCATACGGCAAATACGTTATTTCATTGAGTTTTGACGTACTTATGACGCGAGGATATGTGGGCGCGTCGTTGTATATCATACAACCAATCAGACAACTATGCGTGCAAGATTGACTGATCGCGCTGTGGTGGACCTCTCTCTCGTGGACCCGCTGTCTCGTAGCAGGTCTGTAGCTACAGATATATGACCGATTGGGTAGCTATAATAGTGCTCATTTACCACCACCGGTTGCAAACTCACTTCAACTCCATGTAAAGAAGTATGTCTTCTCATACTCCGGCCGCCCGAGGCGTACATACTTGCCACGTTCACCGCACAACTCACATGAATTACAAAGCAAAAACCACAATAGGCTTGGTTTAGGCTTGGCTCAGCATCAGACAAATTTTATTATTAAACCTTACAATAACATATTAGAAAACAACTAGACCAATTTCACTACAACAGAAACAATGTCCCACTTTCTCACAGAACTACAACAACCTGGAACAACTAATTAAAATTGGATATCGTAAAATTAATATTATATTTTACCCAGTAGTAAGATTCCCTAACACACATCTTACGCTTTCATACTGATAAACTCGCAGTAAAAACAAACAAAAACCCTGTAATTCGAGCTTTTTTTAAAACAAACCAGATATTTAATACATGCAGATTGCTTACTGAGTCTTAATTCTAATTCATCTACACATATATTTGATATAACGAATTACATAATTAATATGAACGGATTTTTAATAAATATTCACACTAATTATTTGAAATACATGTAATATAATGTATATACCTAAATATTCGATGTGAAATGCGTTTCATCGCGTTACAACGTATAAAGAGGGCGCTACTACAGTCATTTGCGATTGGTCTAGTAACCAGCGAGTGAACCGTTAGCTGTAACCAAAGTTACTGACACAATCTCTGATTGAGTGTAAGTTCCGTCCCTAGAAAACAACGCAGTTCATCATTAAATTTTATGAGATTCATTTTATTTCAAAACTAAGATAGATGGTCATATTCTTGTTTTACAGAAAAAAAAAGATGGTAATTATTTTCTGCAGACTTAAAACTGACGTATTTGCCATTCTAATTCACGTCAGATCTGTACTCAGCGTCTCAGGATCCCAAATACATATCATTTTCACACAAACAAAAAATAATAATAGTACTATTAGTGTAATGATTATCAATTTATATAATTTGATTAATTGTTGTCCAATCCAATTAAATTGATTAACCGATTATTATTCAGGATAACAGAATGTACGGAAACAGAAATGAATCGACTGGTATAAATGTATATCGTAATGCCAACGATGACAACAATACTGAAATATACAGTGCATAGGGGAAATGAGATGTTTGTATGTGCGTGTTGTTATTAATGTCCCAATTGTAAAAAATGTTTTTTTCTTGTACATTTGTTTCGACAACTGCACCTCCCACCCCTCACTGCCAGGACTGTTGTCGAAGCTGGGAAATCATAGTATATAATGAAATATCAGTAGTTGATTCAATAATTTTATCTAAGACATTATATAGCAATGTTTCACGTCTTGTGATTATAGATTCAGTACCCCAAGCTTCAAGAGGCAGTTGTCCATTTTGGCAGAGGAATCTGTGTTGGTGTGTAAAATATAAAAAAAATGTTCCTACTGCCATTGATGCCCATGACATAAGTCCACAGGCTTTAGCAAGAGTTGGTCTGCGAGACTTCTGGTCTCGTGTATTGGTTGACCCGGCCCACATGAACTCTTTATGTAATTCCAGTTCGATGCAAACTATCAATGGACCATGGTAACTCTCACAACATTTCATCGAGATTTCGTATTTCTGATGTGTCGGTCTTATTTCAATTTCGTTAATTTGCGTCTTATTTCAATTTCGTTAATTTGCGTCAAAAAGTAGCTGAATGTGTTTGTGGGGGTTGCCAACAAATATTTGTTTTTAGAAACTCCTTATATGACGACATGTTTTAATTGGTCTAACCAACACTCCAGGTAGCTGCACAATATTACATACACCTTTTTCTTTTTCATAAAAAACAAAACAACAAGTTATTATATCGCATTATTTTACTTTTTTTGTTGCATGCTTTATTGATGAAAAATACAGTTTAGATTAGTGCATACATGAATCGATATATTGCGTTTAAAATGTAAGAAACGGTGATTATACAGGAAGTGTAATAATTATAGGATATGATGCATTTAAATTGTTATTGTAGCGATTATAGAACGTCTTACTATGTTCTACGTCTTACAATTGTGTCAACCCACCGTCTATAAAGAAAAACATAAGATAATGTTATAATTGAAAATGAAAAGTACCTGATTGACTGTCATTTTTTCCGTTTCGTTATGTACACGGCAATACAATCACATTTATTATATATTACAACATTTACCATGCTGCTAAGTTTATACACAATGTGTATATTATTTCCCCTGAGAATAATGATGTTGACATTTAGTTTAATAAAATAATATCTGTTTTGACCAAGATAAGTATGTTTTACAAAAACTACTTATGTCAATAAGACTACTAAATGTCTGCCTCTTATCTGTATATCCAACGATGATTCATTTATAGTTCAGAATATACTCTGAATATATAATATAAATCTATATATAATCTGGTTTATCTTTCTAAACATGTGGTCGGGTCTGGTGTGACAAATACATTAAATAAACATTTTGTAAACTAAATCACATTCGACGATTTCGCGTCAGGAAAAAATAATTCATATTTTCTGATGCTTTATACAATTGGTCATTTCATATTTCTCTAACATCCTATTTTTCAATAATTACCTGGACAACAGAATCTTGCTTCATAATCAAGACATTCGTTATCTGGTTGATCTGCAATTAGGCAAACAAATCCTACTTCAGGCGAATATTCCGAGAATATTTCACCAGTATCTTCTGCTGCAACGCCATCTATGGTCCGCGCTTCGACGATAGTAGGATTAGAACACATATAATTCCCAAGGTGTTTTACAAATATGGATGTTTTTTCGTAATCGCCCAAACCATCAGCGTTATCGTAATCAAACCACTGAGTCCATTGACCAGTACACTCTGTGTGTAAAATGTATATATTGATATTTTATTCTACAATATTACCATTCGGAGAGGTATTGTATAAATTAGCTGTTAACTAGTTTTTTAAAAATATTTATCTTATCTTATGTTAGTCCAAGGTTTTGAAAAAAATCTACATTTTAGCAACTGCTAGTGGGACCTAAAACAATTTGAAACACATATGCGCACCATACAATCATGACAATATGAGTTTTTTTTTGGGTGTGACATGCTGATAAATTGAAATTTTCAAATTAAGTATACAAATTTCAATTTAAAAAATGTGTATGAGGTAATTACAGGGCAGATTGAGGTGATCCAATACCTGGAATGTATCGGGGAAGGCGGTAGTCAAAATGGTGCGTTCAACTTCACAAGAAACATCTGATCAAAGAAACCTAACGATTTTTCCCCAGAAAATTTAAGCAAGACACATTACCCTTTGCAAAGAAAATATTTAAAAATAAATAGCTGTCATGCGAATACATAAACCATAGGTTATCTTTTTCTTCTCGTTGCTTAAAAACAAAAACTCACCAGCTTCAGCATTACCAATGGTACCCAGTAAATTGGTCTGCTTGCATGAGGGGAAATAAAAATACACAGAATTAATTGATACATTGAAAAATTCCACAATTCCCTTTTACCAGAAATGAAAGTATCATATCTGAAAATTGTTTAGACCACCAAAAATATCTATTTAAATAATAGAGCGCAGCGATTCAAACAGATTTTTCAATTTGTAATGATTCATGTATCCATGGTGAGGTAACCAACTGATATACCATTATTTGTGTCCAATACTAATATAAGTAAATTGGTACGGGGGTAACACCATCTTTGACACACTGTTACCAAAAACAATTCCAAGCACACTTGTGTAGTTAAACAGCATAGTAATATTTTGTGAAATGATACCAAACACTAGAACCCTTTTAGGTTAGAACAATTCTTATCAGTTGTCGATCACAAGTTTGATTGTTTGAACATCTTACAGACATTTTATTAAATGGATATAATATCGCATAAAGAATATTCATAGTAAATCACATGGATATATCGGCCTTTTGAATCTTAATACTTGTTATCATCTCTCATATTATAGTATGTCAATCAATGGCGCAGAGACGGTCAAAGTTTGATCATTAGTTTATGCAAATTGCATTCCACTCCAATGGCGTATGCGGGTAAGACGAACCATCCAAACATACCTCACTGCATCGTTTGCCGATATTGGAAGAAAATTGACATCGAAATGTTGAATGTCCAAGTACGGATAGATTTGGCAACTCCCTTACTACGCCAATCAATGTAATATTGTCTATGCAGACCACAAGCATATTTCATTTGTGCGACGCGAGCATCAAAACAAGACCTTATGCAAGTATTTCCATGGCATTTCACAAAAGGTAACCCAGGAGAAAATGAATATATTATGTAAGAAATGTTGTTATAGCTATATGATAAAAAAGTGCCAGTTTTTATTAAATCCTGGTGCTGTCAACACTTTTGAAAACGAACCCAATACCCTGAACATTGTCGCAAAAAAGGTTATTACGATAGAAATTAGTAAGAACAAGTAAGTTGCAGATAAACTAGGGAAATATATTTATCATTTTATTGTATACCTGAAACATAACACATATGATAACTTACAAAGATCATTCCTGCAGCGATAGCTAGTAATCCAGCGAACTTCATGGTGCAAAATTCTGTAATGAAAATATTTTATTATAATATTTTATGGAATAACGAATATGCTTGGATTAAAAAAATATTTGAATATTTGCAATTTGTGATTCATTCAATGCGATTTTATTTTTTTCAAATGAACAAATTAGTAAATATATAATGATAACTATTAGTTGACAAATCAGAAAAATTTGTTATCAACAATAACGAAAAATAAATAAAATATTTGAATTTGTGTAATGACACATTTCCGTACTGATAATAATTCCATCAAAAACATTTTTATTTTCTAGAACAAATATTCGAAAGATTTCACGACAAGAGAAACATTAACCACATTGTCTTGACGAGATACATAAATCAATATAACAAGATGCATCAATTGGCTCAAATAATATTAGCTCTGAATATTAATATCCTGTGTAATGAATGATTCATCTGTTTTATGTTAATAGCTGTAAACATAATCGTTAGTTATTGAGCCCATTTCCCTCTCGTAAAATACACATTTCAAAGTTGCAGGAAACAACTAAGCAAGGTAATCAAGGTAATATGATCTCCCAATGATAGATTGATGGATTTATATATTGTTCTTTGTAATAGTCCATTCTCGATTTCCAAAAACAAGTTAGTGTTCATCCGGACCCAATAAAACCAGAACAGTAACCACGTTTTAATAAATATTTACTTATTCAACAAATTTTGGAAAAATGCGCTAATCCCTTGGATTTTTCGAAACACCATATATTAGTTTTTGACATTCACTTTGTGTATCGATATGCTTTTGTTGTTGTGGCGCATAACAGACAATTGGAAAATAATATACATGCATAATTACGCCTAATAGTATATCCTCATAAACGACGATTATCTAAACAATATCCGATTCAAGTGCTTATTGGTTTATTAAACTTGGCACAAACATTTATCATCTTAGATTATTATGTGCCACATACTCAATGGGAAGGCTTTTTTTTAATAAACTAATAGATGAAAAAAAAAGAAAATTTACTGATTTTTGTACATGCACATAATTTCGGATGCTGGGGGGAACATGCTAAAATACATGAGGTTTTCGTTATAAATTTGGTAATTTATGACTCACAATTATGAAATTACGTGACAAACCTACGGGCATATGACCACCTATAAGTTTCTCAGTCAATATACTGGTGATTCCGACTAACATAAATAACTATTAAACATATATTGTTTTCCACAAGCAACACATCATTACAATAGGCAGCATTGGTAACTGTAAGGCGATGTACGTGAAAATATGATGGAAGGAAATTATTACTCACTCGTTTAGGAACTTAAACGAACGCTCATATACCAGTCAGCAACGACAGAATGCTCAAACAAAAAATGGCATCGCACTTATATTCTTTTAGCTATACCAGCATGTTGTAAGTTTCCAATGGTGAATGAAACAATTTGGACATTAAAAACAAACGAATATATTTCAACTGGTATTATTTTTGTCGTCGCATGTGAAAAATGTATTCAGTGATACGAACTTATTAAATGTAATGGTACTTGCTTAATGACAATGCGAACACAGTGGCAAGTGATATATATATATATATATATATATATATATATATATATATATATATATATATATATAGTCTAGATGTGGGAGTCGATTATTCCAAAACAAAAGTGCTCAATACAATGTATCTGTAGAGCGGATAAATGCGGTAATAGAGGAATTAATACACAACTACATGAATAATGAAACTCGACAGCACTGTTTCGTACGGTACAAGTACCTCACTCATCAGGAGCGTTATGTTTAATTCACTGCACCAACGAGCATACATATACTTCGCAAATTAACATATTAATTAAAATAAAAAACATACAGGTTTAAGTGTTACATAATAAGTCTTTTGATCTGTGTCGGCATGATGATACAAGTTCATTTCTTTTGTTTAGTGTGGAGTGGTGAGGTCTAAAAATTATTATAACTTTTTCCTTCAAACATAGAATGCTGGAGCTACTGTACGGACTACCACGAGTAGAAATTGTCCATGTTATTCTGTGCTCAATATTTTTTTCTTTCAGTGACCAAACATGTTTACTTAGTTCTGTCGCATTTCTAGAGGCCTGGTTACGAAATGAGGCAGTGTGGTTTCTGTACATTGTTTTGAATTCATTTCCAGTGAGACCGACGTACGTTTCGCTAGTTTGTTTGTCTAAGCGCGTAACATCCGCTTGGTATATCACGCCGGACTGCAAACACTTCCCGTCCAGTGGACATGCCGTTTTTTTTTCTGACAATTGCATAGTTTGTTGACTTTCGTTTTATCAGTTGTGGTGCTCTTATCAGTCGCGAGTTGCCGTTTGTTTTTACTGTTGATGG